AATGTTAAAAGTTGGTCACAAAAGTGCGCTAAATCGATCTTTATTCAGTAAATGTTTTGCTGATTTGTTCAGAAGTCTGTAAAATAGATGAATGTTAGCTAACTTCGCTAGGGGCGCCAAAAGCTACTTGGGGTGCCAAGGCGATTTTTATTGGAACTGCGCCCACAAAATTGCTGACAGAAATTCTTTCAGAAGTTGCCTCCCTGAAAGTCAGTGAATAATTCTCAGTCTATAATTATTACAATTATTAAAATATAAATCTACATAATAGGCTATTAATATTTTATCCTATTGTGTGATTTGTTTTTCATTTATAGTCCTAGCTATTCACAAATGTATATATTTTATTAGACAATAGAATTGTTTTCAGTTTATCAAACTAGTTTGATGGATGATCGCTGATGGTCTTTTAGTATCCAGCAAGGGTGAGGTGAAATTCTACACGAACCCCTATTAAGACGCTTGTAGGTGGGCAAACGAACCCCAGACGCTTTCCTTATAAAGCGCACTGCTAAATTTAACCCGCCGTTTGCATACACCCTCCTGTAACTGTACATATGGCAGCCTGTTTCCCCATCTGCGTCTTGGTATTCGTTTACCAGGTGGTGCAAATACACTTAAGAATTGCCTGTGTCATTTTAAAAGACTATGTTTTGCAGTTCCCGATCACGTTTAGGTGGTAAAAAAAACATTGTCCGAAGTACTACGTGGTGGTAAATATGAAATCAGGTGTAGCCTATATAATAAGTTGAACAGAGTATCTGTCTAGCAGGGGTGGGCACAGGTTGCGTGACATCAGACGGGAGACCCTAAGTGCCCATGAATGCTTACATCGGTAGCTTTCTTCTCAGCCAGCTCCAGTTTCTCCTGAGCATCCTTCAGGGCTTCAGAGTATTTGTCCAACTCATCCTCAGTTGCCTTCAGCTTCTTCTGCAGGGCGACCAGGTCATCCTCGAGCTGCAGGAGAAGCACGTGTGTCAATACACATGGAGAGAGACAAGAACAGCTGCCAACTGCGTTTATAACTATACATTATTTGTTCAGTTAACATCTTTCATGCGTCAGTTAACCATGCAGGCCAATAAAACAGATGGTCTACTGTAGTAGTGAGACATCTGATATGAAAAACAGTTAAAATAGAATTCAAAATGAAATATAAGATAGAATAGAAATAGAAAAGCTTATTAAAAACAGACTTATGCCATAGGCCACAGCATAATTAGCTGTGGAAATACAAGAAGACTATGTAAAGTCTGATTTCTAAAGGTGCAAAGAGCCACCCAGATGCACGAGCGCCCGATTTAAGTCCAACCTGCTTGCTTCTGTCCTCTGCTCCCTTCTTATCGGTCTCAGCCTGCTCTGCTCTGTCCAAGGCATTCTCCTTGTCGAGCTTGAGCATCTGCATCTTCTTCTTAATGGCATCCATGGCTGCGTTTGTGTATGGGTGGTCGCACCAAACACTGGACTGAGAGAGGCGATGAGCGTCTGTGCTGAACTGAACGCTGAGCTGGAGTGCGAGCTGGTCTCGCTGTAGCCTGTCAAATATGTGCCTTCACAGGAGCCTGAGAAGTTCCGCAAGACACCCAATACTTTTTTGGGAACGGGCCTTAGCGGTTCCTCCTGCGTCGCGTCTTTTTTTAAGGATCTGGACGGCGATTCGCTGCCCTCAGACATTTGACCGTTGAAATGCCTATATATGGGATCTGAGGGCCAAGACGTCTTACAATGGGGCCGTGTTCCTATTTCTAACACCCTGCACCTGGAGAGAAAATGAGGGAAGAGGAGCAAAACTGTCCGGAAAGCAATTCAGACGTTGTCCAATTAATGCAAAACGCGGAATACGCGAGCCCCAACATATGATATTGGGCTGGTTGAATAAAAAGATTTTATACAGCACACGAGGGGCTCATGAAAGTGATTATCTTAAGGCAAGGCGTTACTATCTCTGGGTCAGTCTCGTAACAGAGAGGCATGTCAACGAGTCCCTTAGGTATTGTTGTTCATAATCTGAAGAGCTTTAGATACGGTGGCTGTTGAACAGCAAGCTCTCAGCACGCTTGCATTCATCGCCAAGCACCGTGCTGGCTTTAATCGGCCGCGGTAAAACCCCCCAAATCTCTTGGAATCACAACGACGTGTCGTGTGGCAAAGCTACAGCTGTCGGCCATGCCGCGAAGATACAAGCCCCATGTAACGCCTCTGTTTGAGCTTTGCTACATCATTTAATACATTTTCACTTGGGACTGAGGGTACTTAGGTTCAGATATCTTATACTTGCAAGTTAGAACAGATAATTTACTTAATATTTGTTCTACAGTTTTGAGCGTCATAACTGTCGTAATCTAAAGGTGTTTTTGGATAAGAAGATCATAAGATACAGTCTTTCTACAAAGCTGAGGTACTTGCCCTCAACATTAATTTCTTATACCCTCACATTCCCACACCATGAACTTTTCTCCAGGAGGTTATTTTTACCCTTCCCCTCCTGAAGGAAGCACCTGCCACAGTCTCTTCTTAGCTGTTGCAAGACAAACTTTGCTACATAGGCTACACAATTAATCTTAATCTTGGATCACACAACAATGTTTTTATCATTGTGTATTACAAATGTAGCCTAATGAACAATACTAATGAACTGTTTACTTAATTTGCGCTAAACTGCTTGTATATGCATTGTTAGGGCTGTTACAGTAGGCTAATTAATTATAGGACACATGGAATATGGACACTTGCCTTAACTTTAAGAGTTTAAGGTGCTGAAGGAAAAAAATATATGCACTTTGAATTGTTTCTGTAAGACTATATATATTCTGTGTACTGCCTTGAGATGGATTATCACCTATAATAATGTTTTAATAAAAAGATTCCTAAGGGGATTTCACAGCAATAGAAGAACCATTTTCGGTTCCCCAAAGAAACGTTGTGTGAACAGTTCTTAAAAGAACAATTTTCTTAAAGTATCGAACATTTTATTAATGTGGAGAAAGTTTTACTATAGAGATCCTTGCATTCAATGGAAAGCTTCCATGGATGATAAAGGTCATGGAACCATAGACACCAATAAAGAACCTTGATTTCTAAAAGTGTAGTCTAGTTTCATTCTTTTCCTCACTGCTTTTCTGCAGTTAGTCTTTCAGAAGGATCAGAGTAACACGTTATAGCTGGAGACATTCAAGTAGACGTGCAAAGCTTCCACTTAGGGACAACCTTTCAACAACGCACTTACGCCTGGCACCTCAACCTGTTAAATGCCTTTGATTCATTTTCAAGATTTTCTGAATGCTGCTAAACAGGCCATACCTTTGATAGGACTATTCTGTATCATTTGAATGCTGTAATTTGGAGCAATATAATCTGAATTAATTTACAGAAAGCTGCAAAATTAAAATGTAGTACTGTATGAAAACTGGTCAAATTGATAGGCTAGGTTATTCTGTTTACACAGATCCAAGATAAAAGTAGCCTACTGGAGAGAGCAGAGCTGCTATTATGGTGTAATGGAATTAAACAGCCATAAACTCCATTATGTTGGCTCAATAAATATCCCACATATAACATATAACCACGGAATATTTCCCACGGAAATTATACAGACTGTCTAATGCTTGAAACTTTTTTGAAAACATCTAGTTTGAGGAAATTTGACAGTTCTACTTGCCAAACCAATTGCAACTCTAATTGTACCAACTGTAAATTTTTAAACATGCATATCTGCTATGACCATCTCCCCAGGGGACTAAAATTAGCACCTCCCTGAGTATGTGATCCCACCCAATATAGCCCCATACACTCATGCTGACTAAGACATACTACATCTGCCCTACCCCCATGCCAAAGAACAGTGGCTTAAAGGGGCAGTCAGCTTGAGCTTAGTGCAGTACCGTCATATTGAACTGATCTATAGTGCCAGATTACTCCATCTCAGTTCATAATCATAAAGAATAGCTCAGAATAACAGCAAAACTGCAGACAGGAACAGAACACTGAGTACTTGCTTTAAATGAATGAGACAATGTTTGTGCAACTCACTTTAACAAATCACTGAGATGTAAAGTAAGTACCTTTTTAAATGTATGTAAATATCACAAAGCATTACTATATGGGGAAGAAGGTACATAGAAGGCAAACTTGCTTCTATTTGGCATCTTGCAAGAGATTTACAACCTTCTAAATTGAGACTACATATATTTATACTTTCAGATGACTGTGTAGAGCATGAACCAAAACTCAAACTCAGTACAGGCAAGCTAGCAAAATATTTCTCCTTGTCTCAAAAAGAACTATCAAAATGAATGCTAAAATTGGGTATTTGGCATCCTTTTTAGATGAACACATTTTAAATGTTTTTTATTAGCAGGAAGCTATACTGTAGCCACTCAGAAGCCAACTATTTGATGATACTACTTTTTACAGCTTTACCACTCATTTTTATGATACTGCACTTACCAGTATGTTATAAAAAAAAAATTTTTTATTACACTGAATAAAACCCTCTTACACTGAGTAACCTCTCTAACACTGTTCAGTGCACAACTAGAAATTTCTATTTTACATTTTCATTGCCAAATTCTCTTTCAGGCAATGTATAAGAAAAACATTCTATATGAAAATGAACATCATTTGAAGAGAACTATACTTTGAAACCCTTTATTTTAAGTTAAAATGTTCTTCCACATTGGCAGAAGCTTTACATGTGTTACTTCTTTTACTGCAATGCTCTCACATGTAATCGTTTAAAGACACGCACAAATAAACAAGTCAATTGGTTTCTCAAAATGCAGAGTCACTTTCAGGACTTTCTCAATATTTTACACTCTTCTATAGTCGTCTACACCAGTGGTTCCCAACCCTGGTCCTGGAGGCACCCCAACACTGCACATTTTGCATGTCTCCTTTCTCTGATGCACCAATTTCAGGTCTTGGAGTCTCTACTAATGAGCTGATGACCTGAATCAGGTGTGTTTGATTAAGGAGACATGCAAAACGTGCAATGTTGGGGTGCCTCCAGGACCAGGGTTGGGAACCACTGGTCAACACAATGCATGAACTGGCAACGTTGATCATTTTGCAACTCTGCCATAAAATGTAATGGAGCATGCACAAGAACTGCAGTACAAAAGTGTGCTGTCTTAACATACAGTCATATTTGTAAATAAGCCATATACATTTACAGCAACATGAAGCACACAGACACTTTCCAGGCAGATCTGTAGCTAAAGGGGTAACTGCTTAAAGTGAGTTTTGTAGGCCACTTTATGATAATGATTTGTTGCAGTAATTTCCAAACTCCAACTTGTACCCTTCCGACTCTGAGCATCATAGAGCACAAAAGTAGTAACAGATTAGCAGCAACTCAGCTTCAACACACACACACACACACACACTATGGTGAATGCAAGCCAGAATATAGACACCTGATATTGTCTCCTACAGTCACGAGAACTGATATGTTCATTTGACAGTGATAAACTAAGGCACTGAAACTAAATGTACATAAAGCCAGAGACAGAAGACTTGCCGTGGCAAAGAAATAAAAGCAGATTTCCAGGGTTGCATATGACCAAAATACAAGCATAAAAGTGACACGCTAGAGCATAAGGCTAAAAATTAGAAAGTCATACCAGCATCAAATGGTTTTGAAAATTTAGAGGATGTGAGAAAAAAAAAGAAAATCACTTTTGAATGTACAAATATATCCTTGTGCCCGCAGACAACAAACTGAAGCAATTCTATTATAACTGAGCATACATTCAGTATTAGGATTTTATTCAATATTTTTTATTTTATTTTATTCAACATTTTGCTGTGGTATAACGTCAATTTTTGAAAGGTTTTAGGGGGTTAGAGGTGGAACTTCCACAGTACTACTGAGGTTAGTATGGTCTTATGATTCTCCAGATTTAATACATGAATCACATCCGGACATTACATTCTCATCATGCACAAGGGCAGCAAGAAAAATTCATTGGAGAAGATGCATTTTAGACCCTTATTCTGAGTGGTTTTGTTCTACATTGCACATTTATGCACTTTCGTTTGCCTACATAAATATTGTTTATTTGTATACTTTGTGAACTTCAAAGCAATGAAAGTTAAGCATTAAAAAAAGTATCTCACCATTACAAATGTACAAATGTTAAACATTCAACTGGAGTCTCTGACAGTCAGGTTTCTTTTCATCTCGACTTTAAATGATGTAAGTATTAAAGTCTGCACCTTGTTTGAAACCCTAAAAACGCTTTGTTTTAATAACTGAGATCGAACAGAGTTCATTTATTTCTTCCTCAATACAGTCTCAATCGTGTAAATCTGGCTGTTCTGAGCACACAGTTATGTGCTTCCAAAATCTTCATGCACACATTCACAAGTTCAGATTCATGCCAGAAATTCAAAGCTTCTTTATGAGAGTGTGGCGGAGGTATGGACACATTCACGGTTACAGAGACAAGACGGTCACTGTTTGAAATGTTCAAGAGTTTAAATATTAAAAAATTCACAATCCAGTCAACTGAATCAATAACCCTTCATCAGTTCAGTAGGTGACGCTTGGACTGCGCGATAGAGACGTTCATCTGTGTCCTGAAGGCAAAAACAAATGGCGGAGAAATTGACCAAAGGGAAGCCAGCATTTATGTTTAGTCCTCATCCTCTCGTAGTTCGCTTGGCAGGAACTTGTACTGCTGTTGTCTGATCTGTGCTAGCTTCTTACGGGCCTCTTCCAGTTCCCTCTCCTTCCTCAACATCTCCTCCTGAGCAGCAATAATCTGGGCCAAACAGACAAAGCACAACACAAATGAAATATTAACTGAATAAAGCCAATGTGGGAGAGTATAATCTTAAAATACAAATTATTAATATCATATAAACTAAAAACAATAATAATTATTAGTAAATAACTGAACGGGCAATCAGAAAAAATGATGAAGATGCATTTTATAGGTTTTGTATTACAATGCACATTTATTGTTTATAGTTATTATTATTCATATTTGAAAAATATGAGCAGCAAAACATTTGATTATTTATCCATCTATTTATTTGTTAATAATAATAATAATAACAAAAACAACAACATTATTTTGGACACAGTCTGTGTTTTTTTTTTGTATTGCATTGCATACTTATGCACAATTCACAGTCTACATATATATTCCTTTTTAATTAAAATAAAATATTATCAAATAATTATTGAATTAACCATAGATAGAATTCAGCCTGTAAATCCTACCTGAGCGATTCCTCCAACAAACCTGGTCTTGACCACCACATTATCATCATCCGCCTTGTTGAAAGCAGCTTTCTGGGCCGCTCGAACCAGACTGTCAGAGGCCCGTTTCACAGCATTGCCTGCAGCCTGTAGATGACACATAAGAAGTTCAAGAAATATGCCTATGAAATACATGTTCAATGAATACAGCAATTTAAGTAATGTAACATTGCAGTTACTATTTAAAATATCAGAATCTAGTCTTTTTCTTTATGTAACCGTGTATTACCTGTAGCCTCCTCATAGCCTCTGAATCCTGCTCAGCTTTAACCTTGCACGCCACCAGCAGCTGTGCAGTGGAAGCAGCCACTTGCTTAGCAGAAGAGATGAGCTTTTCTTCACTGGCATGACCTTGGACTGATGCGTTCGCTGCCTCACAGAGGTTACTGGTTGCTGCGGCAACCATGCGTGCCTGTAACAGTGAGCAAACAGAGAAGTTACACAGGAATATAACATGATGACATTTTATTGCCACTTTTTAATGCTTGAGGACTTACAGCAGATATTAGCCCTTGGGACCACTGTCCATCATCCACAGCATTGGCAGGGATGGCTCCCACCTTCAGGAAGTAAAAAGATGGCTATTATGATTCTATAAAAACTGAGTACATAAAAAAAATTCAAGAAACGGTTGCTATTAATAATAATTTTACGAACTGATTAATAAACATTTTTATAGCTTACGCTAAGTTTTCTTACCTTGCCCTGGGCTACGAGTTCTCTCTGAGCTGCTGAAGCTGATTTTACAAGAGCGCTGGTTGCTGCAGCAATAGATTTGGCTGCCTCAAGTATCTGCTCTTCAAAGTCTAAACTCTCATCAGCTTGCTGAAAAAAAAAATATTGAAAAATACAGCTGTAACATCTTGAAGAGTTAATAAGAAATTGGCTCCCCGTGTAATATATATATATATATATATATATATATATATATATATATATATATACAGTGGGGCAAAAAAGTATTTAGAAGTATATAATAATAATATACATAAATACACTACTAGTCACATTTTGTAATTAAGATTTTTTTTTTTGTTCTTGTTTTTGAAATAAGTCTCGTATTCTCACTCAAAAAAATACAGAAAAAAAGTAATATTTTGAACTGCTTTCTATTGTAATAAATTACATTTAAATGAAAATTCTGAATGAATTCTGAAGGATCAAGTAACACTGAAGACCAAAGTAATGCCTGCTGAAAATTCAGCTTTTCCATCATGGGAATATATTTTATGTTAAAATGCAGCTTTGGTAAGCAAAAGAGACGACTTTCAAAAACATCACAAAAATCGTAATTATTCTAAACTGTTGACCAGAAGTGTTCATATATTACATTACATATAAATGCAAATATAACAGAGCACTGCACAGTGCCCTTACAATACGTCAATTTAGCGTAGTCTTTTTAAGAGTGCATTAAGCCATGCACACTACCTTTGGTTTGGCTCTTGGTTTGAGCTGCTCGAGTTTCTTGGCTGCTGCTTCGATTGAGGCTGCAGCTCCCAATAACTCCGTTTCAGCGATAACAGTAGGATCCTCAGGGTCAACCCATTCAGTGCCTACACACACAATACACACACTTAACTAATGTTTGGCAAGGCCTGGAATCATCACAGGCATGCTGTAATAACTGAACAGGTGTCAGGTGAATAGGAAATGGACAGTGTTTTTTAAAACAAATCAAGCCTGAGAGAAATTAATTTTGTCACAGAGCTGAACACAAACAAAACACCGCAAAACAAATAAACAAGACACAAATGTGGTTAAATAAGAAAATGTTCTAAATGAAGATTGGAAATACGGAAGTATTTTGTACTGGCATCTTGTGGTACTCACCCTCATCTTGAGCGAGACAGGAAAGACAGGAAACTTTACTCAGCACAGTATATCTCCAAACTACACAGAGTGAGCATGTTTTTGTCTTAATGAAAGTGTGTGTTATGAAATATCTCTTACCTTTCATGGCCTCTGCTGTTTGAATCAGTTCAGTGACAGCTGCAGCAACCTTTTTAGAGAACATCACCAATTTTTGTTTCTGATCACCTGTTGGCTTTTGTAAGACCTGAAATACATATATGCACATAAAGAGTTCTGGTTAAGACCAATCCTGATCAAAGGGACCATCAAAGCACCGTGCAGATGCATTATGTGTGTAAATGACTGTGTTTGTACCTGTAGGACATGTTCTAGGAGCTCTATATACCCATTGGTACATTCAGTGCCGTATAACAGAGCTCTGTTTCTGACCTCCTGATTTACTTCCTCATGATATGCTGCTTGCTGAGGGGGAAATTATTAAAGCCCATTATTAAAGTACACACCAAAAACACCTTCGCTAATCCATAACTGATAATGCACAGATGGACACAAGCAGAAAACAAGTATATGCACACACACCTTGCATGTGGTCAGCATATCAGCTATGACCTTGCGGCTGAGGTTCGCTGTGGAGATGACATCTTCCTGTCTGGCAGAATTTCCTGCTGCGACTGCTTTGGCGGTTGCCGTAGTGATGCCCTTCGTCATGCGAATGAACTCCTCTGGAGTGGTTGATTTCTCAGGGGCTTCTTTAGATTGAAACAACTGATGACGACACAATTGTTAATTGAATAGTTTTGTCACCACACTTGTCTATATTTGAGCAAGATTTGTACAAGACACAGGTCAAAATTTAGGTCAATTTAAAGACCTGATGATTAACACACACACAAAAAAAGTGCCTACACAGTTTTCTTGTGTGTTCAACTTACTGTGAGTTCCTGTTTGATGCACTCGATAGTGGCTTCCAGAGCTCTGGTTCCTCTTGAAGCCTCATCCTCCACTGCCTTCACCGTTTTCAGTAAGGATGTTACATTAGTTACCATAACCTGAACACACAGACGTAAGGCATACATTTACATGTTCACATCTGAAAACATCACTCCCTCTGTGAACATTAATTGAACTTTTACAGAAGAACATCTGATGGCAAAATTCGCTATTGCAAACATATCTGCCTTTGGAAACTAGCAATTTTTAGACAACTTATATTCTCCTATCTTTTCAATTTATAAAGACATATTGGTTTCATTAACTGAAAAAATATATAATTATATATATATATATATATAAAAGCCAAAATATCAATAAATACTATAACAGTACATAAATAATCCTAAAATAACAATGATCTAAGTAAACTGGTAAAATGGTACCCCATTTATTTGATTCCTAAAATTTAATGACTCCAAACTCATGCAGAACTATGCCATTAATAGAGCATGTAGTTCATTTTATTGCAAAATATTTGGGACTAAGTGTGCAATGGGAATTATAGTAGTGGATGGAGAAGAAAACATTAATTTTCTCATTAATAATTAATCTGATTAATGGCACACACTGGAATGAGCTTCTCACCAGAACACTTTTACTCATATCTGAGTTAGGAGACATTTCCATCCGTGCAGCCAGATTTCTGAAGGACAACTGGGAGATTACAGTTTCAAAGACAAATATATAACAGCTATTTGCCTAGATGAAGTGTTTCTTACCATGTTCTGTGCTCTTGAGGTATGATGGAAAAGGGAGAATAATATTTATGCAGAAGTGTTTTTGACTGTCGTACCTTGGCCGCATTCTTAAGCTGGAATATGGAGGGGTCATCTGCTGCTTTTCCCGCTGCACACTTGGTGGCACTAATGAGATCAGCTAAAGCTTTAGCAACATCCTTCACTGCGTTGATCAGCACCACCTATGAGGAGATGAATGACAATAACACATGCACATTCCGGAAAGATGACTAAAAACCCTGGCTGCTGGTAAAACCCTGTGTTTGTCTTTTCCTCTGTCCTCATCACTTTCTCCATGTCTCTCACCTGTGTTTCAGGGTCATCCGCGCCTATGCTGGCCGCTCCCAATTTCACCACATCTGTAAGGTGGATGATGGTTTTGGCAGAAGACTGGGCGGCCTGGGCCAGCTTCTCTTGACTTGATGCTGCACCTGAAACAAGGTTCTTAGTGTCCTCCACCAGCGCTTTGGCTGTCTTCAGAATATTCTCTCTAAAAACAAAGAGAGAGAGAATACATAAATGATACAAGTTTGATTATAATGCTTATGTACATATGAATGATTTCATATTGTGCATATACGTATAGGTATATGGTGCATATACTGTAGGTGCATAGGTATTTGTTAGCATTATTCTTTAATACATAATTCTGGCTGGTCCATTGTGGCAAACCAATCTCCTGTGTTGTCCCATGTTTCTAGTATTACTACCCAGTCTCTTTCTTATCACATAATACAGCAAATTATAAAATATACAAATAAATTCAATCAATAAATAAATTCAAAGTAAATAAAATAAAATTGAATGTATTAATAAAGTCAATATATAACATTTATTTCTGCCTATATATGTATATATATATATATATATATATATATATATTTTGTAGCGTCTGGACCAATCAAACACACAATATACATTTTGTTAGCTATATTTAACAAATACTCTGTAACACCCCTCAGTTAACAAGCTATAGGAGGACCTATGGACCCTTCCCCCGAAATGCATCTTAACACCTCAGAAAGACACCAGGCCCCTGGTCACCATGGCAACCAATGCTGATCCCCATAAGCTGATTCGCTACAATATATCCACACAGTATATATATATATTTATACAACAGTTTTTTCTGGTCCTCGAATCTGATTGCCTGAGAGCCTTTTCCAGGAGTGCGATATTCTAGTGTTAACAGAGCTCCAACCGTTTCACCGTATGTATCACTCCGCTTGGAGTATTTCATGCAGTATTTGATGATGCAGTATTTCATCGTCATGGCGGATGCCCAAATCTACTATAATTGTATAAATAATACTGTTTTTGTGTAACGGAATGTAGTTTTAAGAGTTTTTTTAGGCAAGAATGTACTTTAGACTTCAGATATGTGGTTTGTTAAAAAAAGTTAACGTCTATTTGAAAATTTGCTTTGACGTTTTCGGGGATGTGAGCTTCAGGGCGTCAGCGGGCGTTCAGCATTTATGAACCCGCCGAGAGCAGCCTCACCTCGGCCAGATCTGGAATTTGCCACTGGCTTTGATGTCTCAATAGTGGTTAAACATGAGATTTAATTAGTTTTGGGTAATCTAATGGGCAGTCTTTGGTCTCATTAATCTATTATTTGTTCCAGAGCAAATAGTTTGGCTGAGGGCAAAATCTCATCACGTTATATTTTATGTAACTTTAAGGATGTATATCAGAGCGCTGCCTTATTACTGAATTGCCTATCAACTTATATAAATAATAGTAGTATTGAATAATAGTATTTAGTATTGATTAACGGTGTGTGTGTTTGTGATTAGTTACGCTGTTCCACCAATAGATGACTGTTTTTATGAGCGAGTCAGCAGTAAAGACTTTTATATTGAAAGAGACTGAAACAGGGTTGTAAACAAGAAAGTTATTTTTACTTTCAACAACACCTGAGCAGCGCTGTCATGAAATCACCCTTAACAGATGAAAGGATACTACAACAAAGATATCGCTTTCCTCAGCGTACATTCAAACTAATGTTTTATTGTGAATATGAGATTGAGCTGAAGAATGAATGCTGTATCAGATGCAGGTAATCACACTCGCTCAGTCCATCTCTCTCTCTCTCTCTCATAATACTCAACTCTACATAATACAGTGAGCTTTTAATACAGTAATACAAAAAGCATTCAATGAAGCAACTCAACGTTCCATCGTTACTAGTTCTAAAGTGACATTTTCGAATGAGTAATGGAGGCTTGGGCTCAAACTGTCAACTTAAGATTTGAATCCATGATGGATGGAAGTAGTTCCACACAAAAGAGGGCTTTTAAAGACACTCCATTGTTGTTTCTTATGTATTTACACACCCGTGCTGTCAAACTGTTGTATAAATGCAATTTCACACTCGTAGCCGTGTGATATGGCTGTATATCGGCACGCTGTGATTACCATATCGCACGGCTACTCATGATATTGCTTATATATATATATATATACAGTGGTGTGAAAAAGTGTTGGCCCCCTTCCTGATTTCTTATTTTTTTGCATGTTTGTCACACTTTAATGTTTCAGATCATCAAACAAATTTAAATATTACACAAAGATAATGCAAGTAAATACAAAATGCAGTTTTTAAATGATGATTTCATTTATTAAGGGAAAAAAGCTGTCCAAACCTAATTTGTTTGATGATCTGAATCTTTTAAGTGTGACAAATATGCAAAAAATTAAAAAAACAAGGGGGCAAACACTTTTTCACACCACTGTATATATATATATATATAATTATTATTATTATTATGATTTCAGATTCTTTTATTTTATTTTTGAACCAATGTGTCCAAAATTTTTTATTTCTCCCAATAATTTTTATTTCAGTGCATCACCAATGTCTGCAGACTGTAAATTACCCCATTGTACTATATATTTGTGTGATACCTGTGATCAGCGAAGGAGTCTGAATCGTTCTCAGCATTGAGTGTGCCAGCAGAAGCAAACATAATGGTGGTATCCAGGTCAGCGATGATACCTGAAACAGCACTGGCTGCAGTGATACAGGCTTGAGTGCCCTTATTACCAGCTTGCAATGCCGAAAGCACCATGGACACCTACAGAAAATAAACCCGCATTAAAAAAAAAAAAAAGCTACTATATGGAGATATTGACATTTCAAAAGAAAACACCATGAAGTCTTGGACAGGAAGCAGAGTGTAATGCATATCATTTGGTTTTGTGTGTCGTGCATTTCATTACCTTCTCAGTGACAGTTCGTGCGCACTCAATAAGTTCTCTTTTGGTGAACGAGTCAGATGGACTGATCTGCAGCGCTCCAGCCTTCTGAACGAGCACAATACAGCCATGCCCCAGTTCCTGCACTCGTGTCTTTATCTGGAAGCCGATCTACAATCACCAACAAACACAAGGGTCAGCATGTGTGTGTGTGAGAGAGAAATACAGAGAGTGACTGTGCATCTGTATGCCGGTTACCTCCTCTGGTTCAGCAATATAGGCAGCCAGACGTCCCTGAACGGCAAGCTGACTGTAGTCTGCAGTGATCTGAGATGCCAAACTGCCCAGATCCTCTGGCGCACTCACCGATTTAGTGATCTGAGGGAGAGAATGCAGGGATACAATGAAATTGGACACTAAAGTCAATGAATAAATCATTATGATATAAAGAAATATATATGAAACCCATAAAATGTAGAAAATTATGATTGCTTACCATCTCCTGTGCACTGACAGCAATAGCTTTGGAGTATCTCACCATGGTGGTCTGATATTCCACAAATGAACCTTCTGGTTCTGGTGGAGTACCTTCACCTAACTGCAGGGTGACAAGACCATTGAAAGGTTTTACATGGCTTAAATAATGTAAAACACTTCAAATGTCAAGTATTTTTAATTTAATGGAATTATAAAGCATATCAAGGCGGTTTATAATGTGAAAATATGTGGGTTATTACCTTGCCCATGGCATCAGCAATTGAATCCACCATGCCGCTGACAATGCCAACCTCACTAGCAGCTTCATTCAGGGTCAGCAAGAGATCATCAACAGCTTCCCTCATTAACTGTGCAGCTTCTGCTATGGCATCATGGGTATGAGCCGCCTAAAGACAAATTAATAAATTAATCTGTTGAAAGATTGAAATTATACGTAGAAAACACACATATGAATGAAAGAGAAGTACCTTCGGGTTTCCACCACCTTCTTTGGCAGCGTACAGCATTTGTAGAGTAGACTCAGTGAGAGTCTTGGTCTGATCCAGAAGATTCATCTGCTGCTGATGATCCAAGATTTTGGATGCCATGCCCATAGAAGCTGAGATCAGAGGAGTGAAGTAACTGACCAACTGAGAGACCTGAGGGACAGACGTAGGTTTGAGTTAATACTTATGGCATGCATTAGTGATGAAAACTATATGACAAATACTTTTAGACTGTAAAGGTTCTACAGTTTTAGTCACCTTATGTCCCAGCTGGGCTGCTTCTCCTTTTGCTGCTGTGGAAATCGGCTCAATCAGGTGACCCACCTCCTGAACAGATGATGTTAACTGCTCCTGCAAAGCCTGAAACATACAATAGTTAAAGACTCCCAGTTAGAAAACCCATTTTAATTTTTCTATCCTCACATTATAAATTGCTACAAAATGTTGTATCTAGTAATTTTCTTATTATGTGGGAAAAGTGAACAAACAGCTTTCAGTCAAAGAGAACTGATATTGACGGAGAAAGAAACATCACTATATTACTATATATACTAAGTACAACACACTATATTAAAGCCATATCTAAATGTGACATTTATTATAATGGGTTTATGTGAACATTTAATTTAAGTGAACTTTAATTACAGTTCTAATTTTTTTTAATGTTCTGACTATTAAGTGTTTAAAATTATGTCTTTCAATGTTACTGTAATGTTAAATAGCTATAATTACTAATTTTATCATTAGAAATTGGAAAAGAAAATCCATGTAATAGAGGCATCAGTATCAGTGATACTTACCTTCATTCATAGTACTTAGTAAAAAGATGCCATTAAAAGAAAATAGAACTTAAAATGTACCATCTTTATGTTGTTTCTAAATTAATTTGGAGAATTTCCAGAAAAATACTTTACCTCAGAAGAAACTTCATCTCTACGAAAAAGATTTTGGCTGACAGCTGCAAGTGAGGCCTGCTCAATATCTCGGATGTATTTATTGATATTATCAATGGCAGAGTCACATTCCTTCTGGCCAGGGGCTTTATCCCTGTAATATAAATCACATGATCAATTTCTAAAATTATTATAATTATGAAATTATTAAAAAAAAGAACATTCATAGTAGCTAATTTTTATCCTGCATGTTTCACACAAACTACAAAAACGTCAGTATTTGAGTGTTACCTGATAGCCATGATGAGGCTCTTGATGGAGTCCGACACGTTGCGTGAATGGCTCGCCAGTAATGACCAGGTTGGCGGATCTTTAGGGTTCATAACCAATGACCTAGCAGTCTTCAAAAGGTGGGTGGAACTGTCAAGCATGGAGCGTGCTGACTGGATGATTGGCTCCTGTGCAGCCAAACCCTGAATTGTGAGTAGAAAAATATAAACCATTAACAACAAAAAGGACACAATTGTGAATGACATTCCAATGAAGAAGAACCTCATACCTCTCTACTTATCTGCGCAGCAACACTAGCAAACTCTGGATTGGAAGCAAACGTGGTTAGATTGTCAACAGCTTCAATGAGCGGTGCTGTTGCAACACGACATTTCTCACGGTTTTCCTCTGAGAAATCTCCGTCCAGTGCCTATGGTGAGAGTGAAGAGGGGAAATGATGTTAGAGAACTATCATATGATGTCACTGGAGTGGATAAAAGTTGGATTCATTTATAAAGAGGAGTGGTTTAACCTTGATTGTTTTGACCAGGCTGGCTGTGCTGTTGGCCACTTCTTTGGCTGACTGCACAAAGTGTCTTTTAGCCACAGGGTTGGCAGTCTTAGAAGAGGCAAGTCGGCAAGCATTACACAGCGCCGAGGTGTGCTTAGCAACAATGGTGGCAGCTGAGAGCACCTGCAACATGCATATATTATAATTTTGGCCTTAAAAGTGCAGATGAAGATGTTGCAGAAAGACAAGTTCTGGGCTTAAGTCCAAACACTACATGCCCGATGTCTGACACTACCTGTGAAGGACTACTATCTGGGTCAACAAGATTTTGGCAAGCCATCTGGATTGCCTGATTAGCACGAGCGAACTGGATAGGATCCACTAAGCCTGGATGTCCGGCTTGGCTGTTGGGGTCAGACACACCCACTAGGTAAGAAGCCTAATGACACACAAAAAACAAGTGTGATCAGTACATACACAAAGACAAAGTGTTCAAAGTTAAAAATGTATAATGGTTGTGAACATAGTATGACATGGAAGGACAGAGCGGGTAGTTTTTTACCTGTCCAGCTGCTTCGGTCAGTCCACACAGAGCTTTAGAGGCTCCACCCACACAGTCTCCAAACGCTGGAAAATCTCCTGTCTTGCAGTTATGAGAGATCCCAGCCATAGACTCACCGAGTATCTATATATCAGAAAGAGGTGGATTAAAGATCAATTATCAGTTAATGCATAGTGATATGCATTAACATTTCAAGGCAGGGTAGGTGATTTGGTTCAAAAGCATTTTTTGTAATGCTGGTTGAAAGTTTCTTCACATCCAGATAACAATCAGTAAGTTAAGTGGTCTAAATGTATTTAAATGTATTTTTATTGTCTGTGGAAGGCGTAGCATCAAAAAATCCCTCGGTCCGAGGACTACTATAGGCTGTCCTACCTGCATATCAATGTATGTATTTGCATACCTCTGCACACCCTGTTTGCGCAGACATGATACACCATCAGCGCATTCCGTTACGCTATTGCAGACCGTGCGAGAATGAAGGCGTTATTATAGTAATATTATACATTTTGTACTGTAATGTTTTCTCACTGGTGAATGAGACATGAGATAATTTGACAGTGTTGCATTCAACCATCCACCAACGCCGTCTCTCATCGTGTTGCTAGTTAGCCTCTGGTCTGCCTGCACACGTTCATGTGTTTTGGAGGAGGTATGGCTTTGGAGAGCGATTATGCAGGGAGGGTGGGGATCTTGCTTTCAAAGTTAGCTTGCTATTGCTAGCCTCTCCGAAATCGCCTACCCTACCTTTAACTGTACATACAGGCTAAATGAATATTTCCAGTTCTTAACAGCAATTTTGCCCATTTAGTATGTGAGATTCACATTGAAAATGCTTATACTACAAACTGCATTATGCACTTTTGTAATAAGGTAAGCTACCATTCAAAAGTGTGGGGTCAGTAAGACTTAGTAATGTTTTTGAAAAAAGTCTCTTACGCTCACCAAGGCTACATTTATTTGTTCAAAAATACTGTAAAAACAGTAATGTTGTGAAACATTTTTACAATTTTAAACAACCATTTCCTATTTTTATTCATTTTAAAACGCAATTTATTCCTGTGATTGCAAAGCTGAACTTTCAGCAGCCATTACTCCAGTTTTCAGTAGCACATGACTCTTCAGAAATCATTCTAATATGCTGATTCGGTGCTCAAATAACATGTAAAATGTTCAAATGTTTCTGTTTGTACCTGTATCAAATGTTTAAATAAAAATTTGCAATAACGATCTGGATAGCATTTCAAGCAAAACCTCCAATAGTTAATAATAATTATGTTTCTGTTACCTTAGAGTTCTCCATGACACTTTCAATGCAGTCAAAGTAGGAGAGAGCATTGGCTGGCTCATTTGGGCTATCCAGCAGGCCCCTAACAGCCTGTAAACCGAAAAAAAAAGAGACAATATCCCATTTTTTTAAATATTAAAACAAATTACTTAATAGCGTGCATTGTTTGTATATAATACCTCAAGCTCTCTTAGAGCATTGTCACATTCCCTTTGTCCTGGGGCATTCTGGGTACACAGCGTAATCAGCTGATTGATGCTGTCAGTCACCGTTCTGAATAAACAATGCAAGAGGGTGAAGTTACAAATACAGGAAGAGCAGCATTTATGAAACATGCATGAATAAACACGGGGTGAAGTACCTGGCAGCAGCAGCGAGCAGGTTCTTTGCATTGCCTGCTGCAGGGTCCACAGATAAAGACTTAGCAGCCAACAGGAGCTTACTGGAGGCCATTGAGATGTTCTTCAAATTCCCAATCACATGTATTTGATCATCCTTACTCTAAAACAACCAAACATGACTTATTATTTGAGGAAAAGTAAGACTTATTCACATTCTCATGTTCTCTCCTGCTCCACACATAATACCTGGGTGTGGCCAGCCATCTCAATGCCAGCATCCAGAAACTCATCAAAGTCCTCACTGAACTTCCCAGAAGCATCTGAAAGCTGGCAAGTGGTCCCTCTAGAGGCATGGACCACATCACCTGCAGACTGGTTCAGATCGGCTGCAGTCTGGTTCAGGTCACTCTGAGCCTCCTGGAAGGTCTTACTGCAGGGAGGAAGCTGCAAAAAAATAAAAATACATTTTAAAAAAGTAACAACACTCAGCGACCACACACACATGAGGATGGTGTACATTTATTAATTGCTTGCACTATATTGAGGACAGTGAGTGTACATTAAGCGATAGAATAAATTTTCAAGTTACAATGTTTGTGGAGCATTTTCATTAATTATCATTAGCATCTAGCACTTTGGGTGATGACAAAAGAAAAGAAAAAGTCCTTGTTTGTAGCTCACCATCTCTACAAGTAGTTTTTTGCTGGCTTCACCGATGCTTTTCAGAGCCATATCAACATCCTTTTGTCCAGGCAGACAGTTCACACATGCATTCAGTGAGTGGGACACAGCCTTTGCTACCTAACACACAAAACAGAGACACACATATCAATATTTATATAATATATCTATCTACTGTATATATCTATTTTTTTTTTTTAAAGAAAAAGAAAATTATTACTTCTTTCAGTACGGAAGCATTAAATTGATCAAAAGTAGTTTATTCTTGAAATTCAGTATTGCGGTACTGCTAACATTGCTGACTCCTCAATGATAAATTATGCATGCATTTCCTAATTTCTAAGCTAATATTTTGAATAATAATTGCTAAATGATTAAATTTAATGTAACGTTAAAAAAAAGACAAAATAAGACATCTCTTCCCCCCTCACCTGCGCTAGCCTCTGTTGTATCTCTGCATTACCAGGAGCAACCAGCGCCTCCTTGGCTTCAGAAATTAATTTAACTGATCCTTCCATAACCTCGCAAGCAGAATCCAACATGGCTGCGGCTCCAGCAGGGTCTGATGTGGTGGCAGCAACACCCCTTGCAGCCTGTGCTAATGTCTTAAGAGCCTGGGCAGTTTCACTGGCAGCTACACCTGCAAACATATACATGTTTGGGAGTATATATGTATATGTGTGTGTGTGTGTGTCAACCAGACTGTATGTTTGTTCCTGGGAGTTTACTTAATTTGACAAAACCTCTCTTTAGGAACATCCTCAAATCAAATAAAATGATTAATTTTTTTGTTTTATTTTTTTCCCCAAGAAATGTTAATTATAATTAGCTTTACATAAAACAACAGAGCTGCAAGGCATGTCCCCATTTAGCCAAATAAATGTGTTGTGTATGAGGGTGAGCATATTACCTGTGTAATGCTCATTTCCCTGTGCTGCACAGGTAAGCAGTTGGGCCATTGAGGAACCAACAGCCTTAGATGTGCCACCCAGTTCCTGAGTGCATTTTCCCAACTAAACCACACAAATTAGACCACAAAATGAATGTATAATGTCTATGTTGATATGTCTATTTTTCAAGGACAAAATAATCATAGCATCACCAATATTAAAATGGGTCTCAACTCACTGATTCCCCAGGTAAAGGTTTCAGCTGTCCCTCGGATGCTGCCATTTTAGCATCCTGGAGTTCATTCTTCAGTGTCTGCACAGCTATAAGGGCAGAGTCAATCTCCATGGGGCCGCACGCCTCATGAGCCTACATATCACATGACAGGATTTGATTAAGTATATAGACCAGCCAAAAATGAACATTTTGCCATCATTTACTCACCCTCATGTCAATCCAAACATGTATGAGTTTTTTTTCTGTTACATAACAGAAAAGAAGATATTTTGAAGAATGTTGGTAACCAAACAATTTCCGTTCCCATTGACTTCCATTCTATTTTTGTCCATACAGTTAAAGTCAATGGGAACCGAAACTGTTTACTAACATTCTTCTAAATATATTTTGCCTTCCACAGAAGACAGACATCAAGGTTTGGAATGCCACTAGGGTGAGTAAATGACAGAGTTTTCATTTTTGGGTGAACTATCCTTTTACAGTAGTACCAAAAAAAGTACCTTCTACTCATAAATTACATGTGTAGAGAAGACGGATTCAGTACCGTCTGTGCAGCAGTGCGGAGTTCAGCCAGGCAGGTGGCCAGGTTCTTTGCACACTGTCCAAGCTGCATGGCTGCTGCCTGATCCATCACAGTCGGCACAGACGACTTCGCTGAAGACACCATCTTACTTCCAGGCTGGAACATGGAATTAGACATTTTAGTACTGAAAGAGCACTTTTAAAGAATAGTGATGTTATCAGATGAGTGACAGGTGATTAGCATCAGTGAATGGATTGATGGTTACCTGAAGGAAGTTCTGACTGGCAATGATGAGGGCAAGTTGGGCACTAATATCCTCTGGCTGCCCCTGACTGCCCCTCACTCCCTGCACCAGCTGAGGAATATGGTCAGCTACAGCCTAACCCACATGAACACAATAATACAAAATACACTGTTATAAACACAACAGGAGGACTATCATTACTAACACTTTGGAAATTCTCAAAGAAATACTTATACAAACCCTGCAGCTTTGAACAAGTTGCTGGTGGGCAGCAGTGTTCTTGTTAGAGGCTGCTGCATTCTGGGATGCCGCAATGGTCTGAGTTGCAGCAGCAGCAGCTTGTTTAGCAGCGTTCTGGAAAAATGTAAAGCAGACATTCAGTGTAGTGTTTTACTGGCTTAGATCACACAATCCTGTCTAAATTCAATTACTTTTCTCATAATGAAAATCATAAGCAAGTCACTGACCTCCAGTCTTGTTATAAGTTTCTTCTTAATGGCGTTTTGTGCAGCAGCGTTAGTGGCCACACGCAAGCCCTCCGCAGCCTCCCGGAGCTTCTGCTGCTGGTCTTCATTTTCAGGGTATGCAGCAGCTCCCTAAACACACACACACACATGTAACAAGTCTATTGGTTGTCTATTAGATCCCAGATTATTAAACAGAGAGACGCTAAAGTGAAGATGCTCAAAATAATTTGATTAGTGCAAAAATGTCTCCAACTTATTAAAAACTCAAGCATTTGTATGAGCTATGTTTAATAATATAGGACAGTGGTTCTCAACCAGGGGCCTGGGGTCAGGCCCACTAGGGGGCCTCGGCAAACTACCTAGAGGGTTTTTGAAAGTAGCATAAGAATGCTTTGATGAATAGAAAGTTGAAAAGAATTTTCAAAAAAAAAAAAAATTTTTTTGGTAACACTTTAGATTAGGGAACACTATTCACTATGAACTAGTTGCTTATTAGCATGTATATTACTAGCATATTAACTGTTTATTAGTACTTATAAAGCACATATTAATGCCTTATTCTGCATGACCATATTCTAGATCCCTTAACCCTACCATATACCTAAACATAACTATTACAACAACTACCTTGCTTACTATCAATAAGCAGTAATTATGAGTTTATTGAGAGAAAACTTAGTTAATTAATTCTTAGTTTTACTGCAACAAAGTGATAGTCTTTTAACCTCAAACCTTTGAACAATAGTGAATATTAATCTAACACTTTATTGTTTTTTTTTACATTTTAATTTAGATGTAAACTGAAAAACATACAGTTCTTGAAACATCTTAAGTAACAAAAAATAATTATGGTTAATTTAATATCAATTTATAAATTTTTGCTAATTAAAAAAAGTTAGAAAACAAGCAGTTTTCTCAGAATTACAGCAGAATTACAGCAAAAAAAGTTGAGATCTGAAAACTGGAGCGTTAACGTATAGTTAACTAATATGTTTTTAATGTGAGCCAAAGTTTGCTAACACACCTTTGCAGCCTCAACCATTCGAGCAGTGGCATCTGCAAGCAGTTTGGCAGCTGCAAGAAGCTTCTTGGAGTTGTTGACATCCACTTCCACCTCAGCATCTGATCTCATGGCATTCACCAGGTCAGAGGTCGCCTGGGCAAGAACCCGCGCCTGTCGTACCATCTCACCTATGGAACAGAATAGTACATCTCTACTTTTACACAGCATAGAGAAGCTAAGCAAATAAATAAACAAGTAAGACTATCAGTCATTGTACTGATATTGGAGTCAGTAAGGTTTTTTTTGTTGTTTTGTTTTCTTTTGTTTAAAGTAAATAAATGTTTTCTTCAAGGACACATTAAATGTAAGTGAAAGTAAAGGCATTTATACAGACTTATTTCAAATAAATATTCAAATATCACTGTTTCAGTTTTAAACATTTATTATAATAAGAAATGAACACCAGATCAGCATATTAGAATGATTTCTGAAGGATCATGTGACACTGAAGTGACATAGTAATGATGCTGAAAATTCAAAACAGAAAAAAGTTCTTTTAAATTGTAATAATATTTCACCATACTACTGTTTTTACTTTATTTTAATCAAATAAATGCAGCCTTGGTGAGCATAAGATACTTCTTTCCAAATCATTAAAAAAGCCTTATCAACGCCATACTTTTGAATGATAGCGTATATGATGCACTCATCTTACCAGCATCACCCATGTTGCAGAAAATACTCTCTGTAACTGTCATGATGGTGTCTGTGGCCTGGTCGTAGCGTCCAATGGGTTCCCCGCGTGTGGAGTAGTTCCTCACGTGTGTGAGTAGGTCACTGAGAGCCTGTGTGACGATACCAGCCGCTGCGCTGACGGCCTTCAGAAGCTCTCCATCACTGGTAGCTGACAAACAGGCCTTCACACAACCTTCCACTGAACGATCCACCAGCTTCCCTGCTTCTATCAGCTGTTCTTGACACACAGGGGAGCTGATAGTAGGGCTCACAACCTGATACACAAACACATGAGTGAAAAAAGGTTATCCACATGTTTATTTAAATCAGTCTGTATTAGCATGTGAATGTGAACTCCACCTTGGCACAGGCCACTAGTTGGGAAGTGGAGAGGGCGCACTGGGTCGCAGCTGCAATAACCCTGTTCTGCAGGATGCTGTCTTCAGAAACCTGTGCCACGTTCTTGGCCTTCAGAACCATCATGGCTGCTGCATTAGCCACAGCTTTAGCTAGGTTCATTAGCACATCCTAAAACACACGCACATATACACTCAGGGCTAAAAAAACACAAATGTACCTTGTACCTCAAATGACAATTGCGTACCTGGAAGCGCTCGTCCGTTTCATTCTCTCCAATCTGTCTAAGCAAATCTCCACTGGCTTGACCGATGCTGCCGGCTGCAGTCAGAACCGTCTGTCGTGGCTGCATGAGAAAACACAACCACAAACACCATTAAACATATACTGTACATGTCACTCAAAATCCTTACGGTATCAACATTTTACTGACTTGGGCTGAATAATGGCATTGACTTTGTAGAGCTACTTTGCAGCGGAATTTGAATTTGTCCCATATTTGATGAGGTTTGCATCTGACCAAACAATCTATATGGTATAAAGCGCTATACAAATAAAGGTGAGTTTATGGTAGTGTTAGTCAGTTGAATTATGATTCAATTTAATAATGAAATATATAAAAAAAGAATATATCAAATTAAAATAAAAAAACAACAGAAAATTCTAAATCTTTGACATTTTGACAATTAAGAAAATATTCAGAAATATTACCATTGAAAAAGTGAAAATAATTATTTTAATCATATTTGCGTATCTCCAGATGAAACCATACAGTGCATACAGAAATGTAAATGGCATACATATGTATATACATTTTGGAGAAATGGAAACAACAACTTTGGGACTGAAAGAAAATGTTCAACACAGTCCATCAAAATGACTAATAATGATGAATGGCAGCACATTCTTTGCTCGCACCTAAAAAAAGAATATATCAAATTAAAATAAAAAAACAACAGAAAATTCTAAATCTTTGACATTTTGACAATTAAGAAAATATTCAGAAATATTACCATAGAAAAAGTGAAAATAATTATTTTAATCATATTTGCGTATCTCCAGATGAAACCATACAGTGCATACAGAAATGTAAATGGCATACATATGTATATACATTTTGGAGAAATGGAAACAACAACTTTGGGACTGAAAGAAAATGTTCAACACAGTCCATCAAAATGACTAATAATGATGAATGGCAGCACATTCTTTGCTCGCACCTCTCCTGATGTAGGCTCCACAGCTTTAAGCAGGTCAGATACAGCTCCAGTGAGGGTCTTGGCAGCCCTCATGAGGTCCTGCCCACTGCCCACCTCATCCTCCATCAGAGCTGCCAGCAGCTTCACACCTTTTGACATCTCCGTCAGATTAGAGGAGATGGTGGTTATGGCACATCCTACTGCTGTATAATCTGTGTCTGTCGGGTCCCCTGGGAAAAAGAACAGGAAACTCAGTCAAATCACTACACTGCAGATGAAGTTGAAAGCTTTTCATTTTGAAAGTCCAGTCAAGGTTTTCTCTTGTATTTACAGTAAAAAATAAAATAAAAAATAAAAAAAAACGGGAAGTGTTGTGAAATCTTACTAATTAAATACATTTTAATACAGCCAAGGCTTTACCAGCAGTAAGATTAACCACAGAGGCAGTTCCAGCAGTAATGGCATCCACTTGAGAGTGAATATCATGCTTGGACTCATCCATCTTGTTCTGAATCCACATTTTAGAAGCCTGAAATAAGACAAAAATAAATAAAAATAAAAAGTAATACAAATAAAAAAGTTAAAGTAAAAACATTAAAAGTAAAAATTAAAGTAAAAATTTAATAAAATGTTAATGGGTACAGGGGAGTAAATGTAAAATTGTGTCCAAGATGTGTGCATTTTCTTACTATATCATCACAAATAAAGTTATAAAATAAAGTATAAAATAAAATATTGGTAATGGATACAGGAAAGTAAATGTGAAGTGACATGTATGCATTTTCTCACCATATCATCTCCCAGTGGTGGCAGCTCTTCCACCTCCTCTAGGTCTGACTGTGCCTGCTGCACTGCTTGCATACTGGTGTTAATGGTTCCCACGAGAGCCTGCTGGGCCGCACTCTGATTGCCCAATTAAGGACGGCAGAAATCACACATTAATCCACCAACAGATCTAAACTGTGACAACTCTATGGTCAACCTCTGTGTGTTATGTAGGGTCTGATGCTGATATGCTGCTAGACAGCAAGGTGGTCTATGATATAAGGTAAAATACTGGACTTTTAATAAACTTTGCTGATTAATTGGTCCATGAACATGAGCATTTGTATATGTGGACTCACCAGTGGTGGCATATGTCCAAGATGCATCTGTCCAGTGGTGATATGTTGTTGTGGAGAGGGCATGGTACCCATGTTCAGAGTTTCTGGGCCAACAGAACCGGACCTCAAGATCCCAGGCAGTGCCACAGAGCCATGCTCTACCCGCCCGACACTGTTAAACTGCTGCTGTAATATAGTAGATCTGTGATAGATAGAGAGGAAGGGACATAAAGATAAAAGGAATGACAAAGTAAAGAAGTAAAGAGGTTTTCGTGTTTGTACTACAGCATTCAGGGGTTATTCAAGAAGAGAAGATGCCAGCACTCATTAGAACAGGCTGAGTATAGAAACTGTGTGGAACAGGTAACCTCAGCTCCATCTAGATAAACAGAGTCTGAGATAAGGTGGTTTTTCCACTGTGAGTTTCCTGTAATGCTGTACTGGTCTGATTACAGAAGTATTTCCAAAGACAACTGGCAAGAAATTACAAAACCTTGAAAGGAAATATGGTTCTTATCACTGACGACTCAAAATTTGTGCGTGTCTTACTTTTTCGGAGAAACTGATTCCTCTAACATGGTGGCCTCCTCATCTCCCTCTAAACCAAAGCGGTCCTTGCTTTGTTTCTGCAGAGCCAAACAGAAGTGAATAAACACAAACTTTCACATAAGGTTTAATCTGGTAACACTGCATACTGTTATCTGAACACTGTTAATGTGTAATACGAAAATCATTTGGAATCCAGGAGAATCTCTTTCAGGAAAGCACATGAAACAACAAATTGTTGAATATTTCATGAGGGAAACGCAGTTAAAGGAGTAAATACTGGCCTTCTTGAGAATGATATCGATGTAACCAGCTATAAGCTGAGATATCTGCTCCCCCTCAGTGGTCTGAACAGAGAAGTAGCTCTCCTGATACTCCCCGAAATCCTGCATATGGGAACAGAGTTCATATATTATACCGTATATATATATATACATACATA